GATGTAGTACAATGATACAGGAAGTTACTAGAATGCCCCTGATTAGTGATGGGACACCCAGACAACTTAAACATTAAACAGGATTAGGCCCATTAACAAAGGCCCAGTACAAGACAACTTAAACTTAAGTATAGGCTAATAAGAACTCTTATCAGCCGAATACTCATACATACAATGACTTCAATCCAACACTTTGGATACCTTCCAGGGCTGCAAGAATCTCAGCCCTAAGAGAGTCTCCTTCCTCAATTGGGCCTGAGAACATAGCAATGATAGCCCCATCCTCATTCCTTAACACTCCCCTAATCCCAGAAGGCCCTGGGTTCCCTAAACAACTACCATCAAAATTCAGTTTTATGAACCTAGAGGGAGGAGGGGACCACAAAGGACTACAGGTCCTCTTACAGAGGGCAGAGGAAGCTATCTCCTAATTTCTTACCAAATCAGGCACAGAATAATCTGATAACAGTTTCATAGTTTTCAACCAATGTGCCACCCTTAACAAAATTAGATCTAATAAGTTTTCAATGGTTCTTTCCTTATCTGAAAATATTCGTGAGTTTCTTTCTTCCCATAGAGACCAACACACTGCAGCCCTAATGCTTCTCCACATAGTCTTCCCTCTCTACTTCGACCATCTGAAAAAATGAGAGAACAAGCTTTGGACAATGAAAAAAGGGGGTCCAAACACACCCAAAAAGGGAAAAAAACCCACTCCCAAACAGATTTAGCAACCGAACAAGTAACCATAAGGTGGTAACCAGTTTCCCCATCAGCTTTACAAAGAGTACATCTATTAGGAACTAAACAAGAGGTGGGTCTCTTTTTCTGAAGTAGGTCATTTGTGTTAATTCTTTCCAAGAAAGTTTCCTAGCAAAAACTACCAACCCGAGGAGGAATGGGCCTACTCCAAATTTCTTTAACCGGGAAAGGCAACCCAATGGGATCAAAAGGCTGAGTTTAAGTCTCAAAAAATGAAGCACAAGAGAAAACACCTGAAGAGGAAGGAACCCAAAATCTAGTTTCCTCCTTATTAGGATCCAAGAATACATTTTCAAGGATGGCTAACAAAGACATAATGTGGTCCAAGTCTGTATCCCTTACTGCCCTTCTCAGACCTAGGTTCCACCCAAACCCTGAAGAAGAGTCTAAGGGGCTTAAAAAGGAAGGCATGGGTTTATTTTTCAAATCAGATAGAGCATACAAAGAGGGAAATTGGTCCATCAGAGGTGAGTCCCTGACCCAATGTTGTTCCCAAAATTTTATTCTATTACCGAAATTAAGACCATACCTGATACAAGGGGAAAAGACTGGAAGCAATTTGTGTATGGCTGACCAAGGAGAGGCGGCTGTAGCCCTTGCCAAGCTTCCAGGTTCCCAACCATTGTCTTCCAACCCATGTATGCTAGCCACAATCTTTGTCCACAACTTGTTTCTTTCCAATGGAAACCTCCATAACCATTTCCCCAACAATGCCATGTTCCTTTTCCTAATATTCCCAATCCCAAGACCTCCTAGCTTTTTACCTCTAGTTACCACCTCCCATTTCACCCTATGGTCCCGCTTTTCCTCTCCAAGCTCCCACAAGAAATCCCTCATAAGCTTTTCCAAAGTGTTAGAAACCTTTGTGGGGATCTTAAACACTGATAGAAAGTACACAGGAAGATTAGCTAGGGTTGATCTAATCAATGTGATTCCCCCCCCCCAAGGAAAGATAATTTTTCCTCCAAGAAGTAAGCCTTTTCCCAAATCTCTCCACCACCGGGTTCCAAAAGCTTACCTTCTTAGGGTTATCCCCCAAGGGGAGGCCTAAGTAAGTCATAGGCCAGTCCGATGTTGCACACCCTAAAACACCTGCATACTCACTAAGCTCCCTCTCCTTCAAATTCACACCCGCCAAACTACTCTTATCCAAGTTCACCTTGAGATTAGATACCCGCTCAAAGAGTTGTATTGCCAATTTTAAGGTCTGGATCCAATTGATGTCCCCACCTTCACAAAATAGTATTGTGTCATCTGCGAACTGCAGATGTGTAAGTGGTATCTCCTCCCTTCCTACTCTCCATCCTTTTATTAAATTCCTCGAATCCGCTCTCTGAATCAATTTCCCAAGTACATCAGCAATCAAAGTGAAAAGAAAAGGGGATAGTGGATCTCCTTGTCTTATTCCTCTTGAGGCGGAGAAGAAATCCACTACAGTTCCATTCACCAAGATAGAGTAGTGGCAACTTCTAATTCAGCCCCAAATCCATTTACACCAACTATCTCCAAAACCAAAACTTTTCAACACCTCCAACAAAAAAGACCAATCAACCATGTCATAAGCCTTCTCCAAGTCCAGTTTAGACACCACTCCCTTCTTCTTGGATTTCCTAAAGCTCTCCAAACTCTCATTTCCAACAGAAAAGACCAATCGCCTTCTTATTTTTGGCAAACTAGCCTCCGAAGTTTGGGCTGCATTTAGTACTATGCTTGGCATTCTACACATCAAACTCAGTCGGCTAAGGACAGAATTCTCTTCTGCTTAAACCAAGGTAGGGGATGCCATTATCAGGAGAAAGAAATCATTGCTTCTATCCCTCTTTTCATTATCTAGGAGATCTGGAAAGAGAGGTGCAGACGTAAGTATGAAGGCCAGATTAAAACAGAAAGCATGGTAATCTTGAAGGTGCTGAAGTGGCTTCATGAAATTCATTCGCCCAATCCCAAACGTGGACCAAGTTTTGTGGAACAGCTGATTCTAGAAGCTTTGAATGTTAGACCTATGCAGACCCGACACCCAAAAGCTAGACTTGTCATCTGGAGTTGCCCTAGGATTGGCTGGGTTAAGGTAAATGTTGATGGAGCCTCAAGAGGCAATCCAGGTACCTCAGGAGGTGGAGGGATCTTTAGAACTGAACATGAACAGTTTATGTTTGCTTTTGCTTCCTTCTACAGTCTCATGACCAACATAGTGGCTGAGTGCAGAGCAGTCCGGGATGCTATATTTTTTGCCAAGTCTCTGGGCATTACGAAACTTGTTGTGGAGAGCGATTCCAAGGTAGTAATTCAGATCCTTTCAGGATCCTCCTCAGCCCCCTAAACCATTCTCACCTAGATCGATGACATTGCAGAGTTAACTGTTGACATGCAGATTGATTTCATTCACATTCTCGGAGAAGGGAATGTAGTAGCAGACAGTTTACCTAACTTCTTGTGATAGCTCAAAGAGTCCTCTTTTTTATTCCAAGAACTCGCTTCCCTGACATATTCAGTTTTTTATTTTTGATAATGCTTTATTTCTTCCTAGATTGCGTTGTAAATAGGCTTTGGGTTTTTCTTTTTATGAGTGAAACGAGCATATTGTATTCAGGTTTGGGGCAAGGCAGGCTACGCTCTTCCCTGTATTCTCTGAAAATAGTGCTTTATTTAATAAAATTTTAAGGTGCCCCCCTCCACCTGGAGTAAAGTTTGGAGTTTTAAAAAAAAAACAAGTTTGATGGAGCTGTCAATGGTGATGGAAAACCAACAACAGAGGTATTGGTTCAAGCTTGCACAGGGACACAGCTTGGATGAAAAAACAAGAATTTTCTTCAGTGCACAATTTCATTATCAACAACGAGAATCAGAGATAAGATACCAAAAAAAAACGAGAATCAGAGATACATACCCCAAGTGGGTGGTACTGTGACCTTCCACCTGCAAAGCTTTTTTAAATGGACATACCTTGTAGACATACCTGAAAGCAAGAATTTTCCATCACCCAATAAAAGAAAATGATGGAGCAAGTAATACTACAAGTGGAGGGTTTAATTGAGCATGAAAAAACAAGAATCACGATACAGAAGTTTTCAATGGAAAAATAGGGAATCCGTGTACTTGTTCTGCCTGTTCTCAAAGCAACGATCATAAAATGAATAAAATTCCTTATCTGGCCCTGAAATTTAAAGCAAGTCAATGGAATAATTTTGCAAGCAATTTCTTTGAGAAATGATGCCATATATAAGTGCATACAACAGATTCTGTACATACCAAAATCATGTTTTAGCTTTTCAGTCAAACTTGATATTGTTGACAGTATCTTAGACAACTTTTTATTGGAGTCATCATACTCCTTCCGAATACGAGCAGCCTCTGCAGAAGCACAATTTAAAAATATATTATTTTTTATGAGCTTATTTTCCAACCAAGTGTAGTAAATTTTAAGAGTTTAATCTCTACCTGATTTTTCCACTGGAGTCTGAAACAAGTTAACCTTCTGTAAAATGTCCCTAACTGTTTCTTGTATCTTATCCAACCAAGATGAGCTACTTGTTGTAATATCTAAACATGAAGCAAAATGAGTACAGGTAACTTAGAGAACACCTAGGAAATTAGAATTGCTAAGTACTTAAGTTTGCAAAAGGAAACAGACTTTTACTTTAAAGACAACAAATGGTCACAGACCTGAAAAATCTGCTTGGTCTTCTGAGTCAGAGTTGTAGGATGTAGTAGAATCATCATTATATTCTTCCTCTGGCTCCTCATCACTGTTTCCATCTTCTATATTATCATCATCAAAATTTTGGCTATCCACATCATTTTCTGAAGCATAGTGGTCATGGTCTTCATCGTGTGTGTTCACTGGGATCTCTTCATTAATTTCATGGTCTTCACCTTTAGGAACATCATCTTCGTTGGTTTGTGATTTGGTATTCTTTCCTGTCCAGCGAGAAGCAACAAGACGCCCTAACTCTTCTCTTGACAATCCCTCAGTATTGTCAGATACTTCATTCTCCTGAAACAACACGCATGAAATTGATAGTAGAATTAACTAGATATAAATTACACTTAGAATTGATGCTAAGGGACATTTGTGTCTTTTTAGGTACTTATTCCTTGCTACATTAGGTACTTATTGTCTTGCTTCCAAGTCCTCTCATTCATCCACTGGGGTCATTTTTTTGAACCATGAATTTTATTAATATGTAGAAAAGAATCCCTATGAGGGGGGACTTGACATTTGTGCCTTTTTAGGTACTTATTGTCTTGCTTCTAAGTCCTCTCGTTCATCCACTGGGGCCTTTTTTTTAACCATGAATTTTATTAATATGTAGAAAAAAATCCCTATGAGGGAGGACTTAAAATACCTTACCCCTCTAAAAAACTATACAAGGGGAAATTCAGCTCATACATAGGGTCTGAATACTCCCAAAGAATCAACAGCTTGTTCTAATGTGGGGAAGAAAGAGAGAATGTTGTAAATATGGTAGTGAAAGGGACTAAGGGAGAATGGTGTGAATGCAATTCCTGAGATCTGATGTGCGAAATCACAAATTGAAGTGTGACAATGGTGCAAAATCGCTTCTAAAGTTGTGAAATGATAATCTGAAGTGTAATAGTGGTGTGGAATCGCTTCTGAAGTCGATGTGAACTGTGAAATGGTAAGCTGAACTTTGTAGAGAATATGGAACAAGCTGAGTCATGCCACTCGGTCACTCCCCTTAAAACCGCATTTGCCCCCTACAGTGCAATCGGGTCTTTGCAAATTGGTTTCCAAGATGAAACAACCCACAGGCTTCTGGTAAGTGTGCATTTGCTTACCAGTCCTCTGCGAATCACTATTGGAAAATGCTCAAAATAGATTGACAGAGACCAACAGAATTACAATAGTAGTAGCCTGTGCTACGGACTTGACCAACACTCTATTTATAGAGAGTTTTCAGCCACCCGAATAGACACAGAAGTGTCCTCACAGAGAGATGTGTCTCTCCTGAACAGTGTGCAAGCCACCTGTTCGAAGAGACATAAGGAAGAAGATGACATAACGTTCAGACAAAAAACCCATTTAAATAGAAACAGTTAAACAGATTTTAAACAAAAACGGTTAAAACACAATCATTTAAAAAGAATATGGTGTGGCGCGCGTATACACACACACCCGACCCAGCCCTGGCTTGGCTCAGCTTGACACGCATGTGTGAAAAGCACCCCTAACTCTCCACAAGCATGTGAACGCAATTTATAGTGTATTCTCCTACAATGGATTCCTACACATAGGGATAGCAAGTTATCTTATAAGCTGAATTCCACCTCTTTTACTAAGCAATGCGGGAGAAGGTGTTTTCACATGCTTCAAGAGGCTATGACAAGAGAAAATACAAAACAATTAAGACAAAGCTTTTCCAAAAGAGAGGGAGAGAAAGATTCATGTATTTTGAATCTTCCCTCCATAACATAATTACATAAATACAACAGAGAATAATCAAACCATCTCAAACGAGTTGTTTGAGGAAGCTGAGAGGCTGTGCTAAAGAGATGGTTTCCAGCATTGCCATACATGAAGTTGGCGAGAGAATCTGTGACTGAGCTACCCTCTCTGAGGATATGATGAAACTCAATGTGGCAATCCACAAGATCAGCCTTGATCTTGTTGATCCATCTAAGAACTGTCCAAGGAGAACCATAAGCACCATTGAGGATATTTACCATAACTAGTGAATCACCTTCTACCCAAAGGCTTGTGAATCCAAAAGAGTAAGCTAAGCTTATACCATCATACATTGCTCTAGTTTCTGTCTCAATATTGGTACATGCGCTATAGGATTTAGAAAAGGCCTAAACAAAGGAACCTGTGCTATCCCTGACTACCCCATCTCCTGCACTAGCACCTTGGCCATAGCGAGCAGCACCATCAATATTGATTTTGATAGTACCATGAGGAGGTCTCCATAACACTAGATGAACCCTTGTAGGAACCACACCCATTATATTTGTTTGGACTGCTGCTACAGTAACCCGAACCAAGCAAGAGGAGGAAGAAGAAGAGGGAGAAGAAGAGAAGAAGAAGAAAGAAAAGAAGGGACTGTCGAATCTGATRGGTAAACCCTATCAGTCGACCCCTTAATAGTTATTAGTCTCTAATCACATTTACAAAGACTAAACTGCCCTTACTTAAGTGTGGGGCAGAGTGTCTCTAATAAGACTGCCACATAAGCAAACAACTTAACAAAGATAAGATGACTAAACAACCCTTATTCGGCTCACTTTAACACTCCCCCTCAAGATGGAGAATATATGTCATATAATCCCAGYTTGTTACATAGATAGTTCACTTTCCTTGAGCTTAGAGCTTTTGTAAACAAATCTGCCCACTAATCATTCGTGCCCACATGTTCTATGCTCATCTCTCCAGCAAGAACCTTCTCCCTCACAAAGTGGTAATCAACCTTTATGTGCTTTGTTTTCTCATGAAAAATAGGGTTGGATGAAATATGGAGTGCAGCTTGATTGTCACAGTACAATCTCATAGGTTTATCCATGTGGAACCCAATTTTTTGTAGGAGATTCCTCAACCACACTAATTCACAGGTAGTGTGTGCCATGGCCCTATACTCGGCTTCAGCACTGCTTCTGGCCACAACCGTCTGCT